TCATGGGCACCAAACCACGGGGCGGTGGTTCCCACATGGTTCCCACCGGCCAGACGCGCCCACCTTCTCACACAATGGGGACCAGCTTCCGGAACATGCCCTGAAGTGTAATGTAAAACCACTCACTGGGAATGTACACTGAGCTATGGGCGACCACGACCTCTAAACTCCACGTCCTGCCCCACTGACCACCGCCCAGTGATGGGGGGTGGGGGGGCGCCCTCAGCTCGCAGATGAGGAAGGAACCGGGTGCTGGGGCCTGCTTCCCACGGAGGATGGCGGGAGGCAGGCAGCACAGATAGACAAGAGGCCAGAGAAAGGCCACCTGCCTGACCATGTGTTAGAGAAGATGGGCCTTGTTCGCAAGGACTTATGGAGGTTACTCAATAAACGCAATAATTCCAAAATGTGGGTAGTGGTGGAACCTGATTGGCCTTTGGGCAGTGGGCACCCAATGCCACATACAGATCACGTACCATGGAAACGTACACTGGAAACCTATATGATCCGATTAACTGAGATCATGCCCCAAATCGAATTAAACAAAAGAGAGAGAAAAGATATGACCAAGTGAAGGACCCCCGTGCTTTCCTGGGGGATTTGGAAATGTGTGTTTTTGTTTTGTGCGTGTGTGTTTTTTTTTTCAGATAAAGTCCAGGGAATTCTAGGCTCACATGAAACTGTCTTAACTTATGTGGACGGGCCCCCCTCGTGCCGAGGGAAGCAGGGGACAGGAGAGGCAGATGGGGTCCTGGGAACCTGACAGGGAACCTGAGGAGGAGCTGGAGGGACAGGGCCAGCCCGGGACCAAGACCTGTCCCTGCCTCCACCGCTGCCGGCTCCAGCCTGGGCTCTCAGGGTGGCAGCGGCTGACTGAGCAAAGGGGGCTTCTGTCACCATCACCCCGTCCTCACTCCCACACTGACGGAGTGAGCGGCTTATAGATCAATCCCAGTGCCAGCCTGAAGTCTGGATAGTGGAGTGACAATTATTCCCTCCAGACATGTGCTCACTCATGCTTTTTAAAAAAAGGCAATGGTCGAAAACGGGGTGTGCAGGCGCACCTCAATGGGCATCATATTCCTTACACAGCGCTCGGACGGTCGGCGCTGACGGTCGGACGGGGCAGGTACTCACAGGCCTTCGGCGAAGCACTCCAGCACCAGGGTGTCCCCCCGGAGGACAGTGACCGCGGACTCGGGGCCCCTCGCCGCCGGAGGCAGCAGCAGGCTGGGCTTTCTCTGCTTGATGGAATTCGCTGGAGGGAAAAGAACAGTGTCCTGTTTTTCTCAGGCTCAGAGAGTGACTGTCCTGTAGTTCTAGACCAGTGATGGCGAACCTTCTGAGCTCGGCGTGTCAGCATTTTGAAAAACCCTAACTTAACTCTGGTGCCGTGTCACATAGAGAAATTTTTTGGTATTTGCAACCATAGTAAAACAAAGACTTATATTTTTGATATTTATTTTATATATTTAAATGTCAGTTAACAAAGAAAGATCAACCAAAAAAATGAGTTCGCGTGTCATAGGTTCGCCATCACTGCTCTAAACTGTCCTCAGAACAGACGTAACCCGATGTCTCTATGGGAGTGAGTGGTGGACAGACAGACACCCCCCCCCACCCGCATCTGGGTCTGTTTCCACTGAGATGCCCTCCTGCACGAGGCTGGGGACCCCCCGGGGAGCGAGGGGAGTGAGGCCGGAGGAGGAGGCCTGTCCTGGCCAGGCCTTCGGGCCCAGGATTCAAACACGGCGGAGAGGAGAGCTCATTTCCTGACGGAAGCCCTCCAGTCTCGGACGTCTGATTCTATGGTCTACACCTGAGTCGCGCCCGCCCCATCCAATGACTCTGTGTGTCTCTGTGTCTGTGTCTCTCATTTAAACCAGGGGTGGGGAGCCAAGGGCCTCTGGA